TGGGAAATGCTACCCATCTGTCCCCTTCCCCGTGGAGATTCGTACCCTCTCCACCGTCCAAGCCTTCCGCATAGCCTTGAAGAACTGGCTCGCCCGTCAGGCCTGGGGATAAGGATAGTTACCCCTCCCGAATGATGAATGTATGTTGCCTACCATTTTATTATATGTTTCTATCTTGATGTTTGTATTCCCCCCTTCCCAGTTTTATGTGAGCTGCCCTGAGTCCCCTCAGGGAAAAGGGCGGCCTACAAATTCTAATAAAACTCTAATAAACTCTTCTAAGGAACATTTCCCTTGATTTTTCATTGAAACAACATACCTATCTGATGGTCTGCAATTCCTACCATGCTTTAAACTATAGAAATAGTTATATTGGTCTGGGCTGAAAAATAACGTTTCTGAAACAAGCACTTTATTACTATTATGTCGAATAAATTGCTAATATGGCAATAAAATTACAGTTTCCAGTTATGGTAACATTAACTTACCGGTGAATTACTGCAAACAGATCCTCTGTTGTTCGCGGTTTATTTGGAGACATCAAAAACTCTTCTTCTACTTCAATTTGAGAGTCCTCATTTATGGGTGAGATTATAGAATCATCACTCACAAAAGATTCTTTAAAAAAAAAAGCAATAAAGAAAACTGCTAAGAATCAGGTACCAGAATTTTATTACATAGTCTCCTTAATTAATGGAATTAGGTGTGTAAGAATTAGAGCTAAATATTGGATAAACTGTTAAATTAATATTAATGATAAAAAGCTTTTTTGTTTATTAAAAGAATTTGCAGATTTATGTATACACATATTCATAGATAGTCCTTGGCTTATGACAGTGCTTGGGAGTGGAATTTTCCATCACTAACCAATGCAGTCATAAAGTTTAACAGCACTGCTTAGCAACACCAATCCCTGCAGTCCCAGTTGCCATTGTCAGTCAAATCCCGCAATTGTTACGGATAACAAGTCAGCAGGTAACATCCTGCTGGCTTCCCACAGCGGAAGTCAGTGGGGAAGATGACAGGAAATTGTAAATCCCAGGCAGGTGAGTGGCTGCAACTTGGTGACGAAGAGAGCAAGGGGAGTCCAGAAAAGCATGGTTCAAGGTTAGAGAGGGTGCATGAGAGGTGCAGTGTGTATTGGGGGGTGCGTGCAGAAAGGTGCGAGGTAGTGTGAGAGAGGCATAGCTTGGATTGAACAGAGTGCATGAGAATATGTGACAGGGGTAGTACAGGTTAGGGAGGGTGGGTGCATGAGTGGCTAGCACAGTGCAAACACAGAATGGGAGATTTTCTGTAGAAGGCAGCAGGAAAGGTTGTAAATGGCAATCACATGATCACAAGGTATTGTAAAACTGGTTGTGAGTGTGAACCAATTACCAAGCTCCTATGATAGTGAGCCTATGGCACACAAGCCACAGGTGGCACGCAGAGACTTCCCTGCAGGCATGCCAGCCATCGCCCCAGGCTCAGCTCCACTGTGCATGTGCACGTGCCTTCTGCTGGCCAGCTGGTCTTCTGATCTCTGCCACGCATGCATGGGGGGCACATGCAAGGGACACACATGCATGGGAGGGTGGGGTGCATGCACAGGGGCACTCACATTGAATTTTTGGGCCTTGTGCGGGCTCCCTTGGGGCCCATTTTTGGTTTCCAGGTTGGTGCAGGAGGCCTTCCAGGCCCAAAAAAGAGTGCAAGGAGGGACGTTTGGGCACATAACAACAAAAAGGTTAGCCATCACTGTCCTATATCTTGAGACCATGGGGGTGCTGGGATGGCTGAACCCCAAGAACCAGTCATAATGACTATTTGTTCAGTGCTGTTATAACTTAGGTCATAGGTCAAGGACTAGCTCTATATTTCTTCAAAGAATCATACATTTATTAGTGCAATATGTTAATGTTTCATTGAAATTAATGAAATTCTGGAAATTATCCATTAATATGATCAAATAACATTTCTAGCATTTGGTGCTACCATTAGCAATGTAGGAATAATTAAGAACTAACCTTTTAAGGTATCATCTTCTGTAGTTTCTTGTGTCTCAGCTGCTCTGCTATCACTGTCATCTGAGGCACTTTTGGTTGCAATACCTGACATGATATCATTTTCAGAGCATTTTTCACTTAGTGAATCTATATTTGAGATTTCTGGTTGATAATTGATATTCTCAGGCACTTTGTCATCAAGTTGGCTTATATCAAGCTGATGCTTCAGCTGATAACAAGTATCTGCTCCCCAAGTTAAGGAGTCAGACCGAGGAATATCTTCATGTAGTGGTTCATATTTTGACTTTTGTTCACAGTGTGCAGGTAATTCATATGGAGACTGCACGGGGTTAATACTCTTATTCTGTTCTGATCCACAAGTAATTTTGCCTTCAAGATTGCTTGGAAAAATTGTTGTGCCTTGTGGAAATTCAGAAAACCCACAAGCTTTATTAGTTGTATGTTCTAGCAAAATCCCTTGTACTGAATGTATTTGATCTGGTACACTCTTAGCTGCTGGAACACTCTCTAGAAATGAGTTTAGATTCTCTTGACATATATTTCTTTCAGTAAAGGTTAAAATATCTTCTCCTAGTAGTTGTTCTGGGCTTATCTGTACTGGGGAGGGATTGATATAAGACACTATGGCATCTTCCATGAAGAACTGATGTGACACTTGTTTTTTACTCAGGCGTGGTTTCATTTTGCATGAAGAAATAGCAGTTACCAAACTATGTTCTTGAATGGGTAGAAAATCTGGATTGTCTTTCTGTTTCTTTTCTTCAGGCTTATTAATTGATCGAAGATGTACTGACTTCAGCACGGAAGGTGTAATAGCAAGAGCTGGTGAAGAATTAGAATTCATTACTTCTTCTATCATATTTGATTTATTATTGTTAAAAGCATGTAGCTGGGGTCTGGGAGCATATGGTTTAATCAAAACATTATGAAGAGCACTTAGGTCAAGATGAGTAGGAGGTATAACCGGAAGTTCTAAATCTTTGTTTAAAAATATGTTGCCATCTTTAGAAGAAGATTGTTGTAATGAGGATTTCCTTTCTGGTACTTTTGGCTTTCTTTTATTCCCTCCTGGGGATAGGGGACCAGAAAAAAATGCTGTTGGAAATGATGATGTTGGGGTTTCTGACTGACTGGAATAGCCACTTGAAGGAGAAGCTAAACCAGCCAGTTTTTCTGGGGATGCCAACTTAAACTCATTCTCAGCAGAAGGAAGAGAAGGAGTGGTGGCTCTTGATCCAGACTGTGATGTTTGAGATTCAGAACCTTCTGGTGACTTTATGCATTCTACGACTGTAGTACCCGTAGCAGTGCTTGAATTAGATAAAGATCTATAGGGATCATTAGATTTCAAGTCATTTAGAAGCCAGAGATCTGCATAGTGAGATTGTTCAGCACCTTCATCTTTAAATGATGCAATGTCCATGGAATCAAAAGGGAGGCCCTTTACATCATTCTCATCCTGATTATGCCAGGAAGGTTTCTGTTTACTTGGCAGGCGAGTACTTTCTACCCTTGAAGGTGTGTTTGCAAACTCGAGGGGCAGCTTCATTTCCCTGGAAGTATGAGGCATATGTTGCTGCCCACTATTTATCTTTGGTTCTTTTTTCTCCAAAATATCTGTTCTAGTGTCAGATTTCCTTAAAGATGAACTGCGTTTTGGTGGGGCTGGCTTCGCCTTTGGTTTCTTTAGAGAAATGCCTGCTTTTCCTTGCTTCCTATGATCCATATAATTTTGCCAATTACAGTGAGTGAGATTGGAAGCAAAACTTGCATTCTGGCAATTTTCAGAGCCCACAGCTGCATAGTTACAAATATAACTTTTATCTCCTTTGAGTCCACAGTCAAAGTGCATGGAGGTATAGTAGCCTTCAGTATCAACTGAAAAATGTGAACTAGTCTCTGCTTTATCCAATGGAGTCTTCTCTACAAAACTGTCATAAGTGGCCATGCTAGTAAAACTTGGACAGCCCAGACTATCAGTCTTGGGATGTTCGGGGCTGAAATCTTGATGGCAGGATGCATCATGATGATGATGCAAATAATTCCACTCACTGTCACTTGTGTTGCTATTGTTAGGGTCATCTAGAAGATCAGAAGTGAAAGAACTTGCCCTGTGACCTCTAATTTTATGTTCACTGTAGTGTTCAATTATGAAAATACTTGAATCTTCATTAACATTAGAGGCAATGTTCAGTGATAATTCTGAATCACAGTGTGAAGAACCTGTCAGTGGAGGTGAAGCAGCAGGAGGAATTGTTTCAGATGTTTGGGAAGGACATGTTGAGCTACTTCCACTCCAGTTTCCACTGGATGATTGATGTTCATCTTTCTGGTCCATGTGACTGCTGAGAAGAACCCCAGCTGTGGAGATAGAGTGAATTGGACTTCCAAAGGTATCAGAGTTTGAAGAAATATCACAACTTCCAGAATCTACTATCCTTGAAAACCTTGATCTCCCTCTTTCATTTGAGTTATGATCTGGACTATGAAAATGCTGGGAACAAGCTAAACCCCTGGGATGGTGTTCTTGTGAACAATGGTTATTAATAGCATCCTTATTCTTTGTGGAAATTCGTTCTTGATTTGTTAAAAAGTGTTCTGCCTCATATGCTGAAATTTTGGCACCATTGTTGTGGTCTTTTTCATTGGCTCTAGCACCTTCACGAGGAAGACTCCTTGATCGAACACGATTGCTCACAGATGTAAACATAGAGTCACCATTATCTGTCAGCACCAATATGTTGCCAGCTGAATGAGACAGTGAAGCTACTGCACTTTGACCCCTCTGAGCACGTATTCTTCTCCGGGATGGGGCAGCAATGAGAATATCTTCTGTTTGGCACTCAGAGTCTCGGGTACCTGATCTCCTGTTGATGTTATTAGAGAAGTCTGGATTTGCATGCACAATGACATTCCGTTCTCTTGCTACTGGTGATTCATCAGAATCTAGGACATATAGATAAAATTTTGTGAGTCATCAGTCATCACACTTTTCAACTGGCTAACAAATTATGATATTGACATTGGCCTAAAAAGTTGAAAAGGTAGATTTTAGTTTTGCTAATGCCAATTTTCACAAAGTAGAATTAAAATAAAAATAGTTGCTATCTTCACACTAGATGTTTCACATAGCAGTGCTTAGCACTACCAACAATGACCCTTATTAAAGAAGAAAACTAATCTGAACAGAGAAATATTAATCTATTTCTGCAATCCTCTCAAGTGTTGTTTTCTCTGCAGACTCAAAATGCATACTTGCAAAGGAATAATCTGCATCTGAAATTAAGGAGCTGGTTAGTTTTATGCCAGCTTGATCTTTTATTTGTCGCCATAATATAATATTGATTCTAGTTCAGTGTAAGAAAAAAAAACACCCTAAGTGAGCTTGTCTAATTGAATGAACTTAATATTTAGCAATTAAAAGAAAAAAGTAATACATAAAAATGGGGTGGTGGGGGTGGACTAATTGATCAAGTTTTCAGAACAGATAATATGTGTACAACTGTTTGGAATTGTCAGCATAATCCAAGTAGGAATCAGAAACAGAAGAGCTAATTCTACTTTGTTGTAAAGTTACATTGACAGACTCTTGCAAGTCTGAAAGTACATCTCTTCCCCTCCCCAAGTTTCCTTTACAGTCCAAGGAACTAAGGAGAATCTCCTCTGAGCCTTTTGCCTTGTTCTCTATCCAGTTGTGGAGTCTACTGTCTCTTATCTTACTAGTCCCTTGATCGTGTCTTTTGCCATCATCACTGGAATAAATAAATTAGTCTGTGGCAATTTATCAGCATATTCATTATCAGGAAACATTTGTTAGGTTTTACAAGGAAAAGTAATTTAAAAATAATTTAAACTACTTAGTTTTGATGTATAGAGCAAACTAAAAGAACACAATTCAACAGAAATCAGGTAACATTGTATTTAGACAATGTGAGCTAGAGGTATATCTGTTCTACTAAGTGATACCTACAACACATTGAGACTGATTCTGTAAGGAGCAATAAAGATGGGTGGCAATATTATTATTTTTGTATCCCCCTTCCCTTTTTATTGTAAGCCGCCCAGAGTCTTCCGAGAGTAATAATAATAATAATAATAATAATAATAATAATAATAATAATAATAATAATAATAATAATAATAATAATAATAATATTTACAAAAAATATGAAACAAATAAAACATACCAAATGCATCATACTTGAAACCACAATCAGAAATTTGGAAAACCATTGAAAGCAAGCTAGAGTTGCATTACGACAGCTCTCTAGGAAATATTTTATTTATACTCTACCTATTTCTTGTTGGACTCTTCTGGGGATACCAGAGATGGTTTTTCTCCTTCTCAGTTTCCGTCTTCGCTGCAGTACGGATTGGGAGTGAACAAGTGAACAGCGTATACTAGCTTCTCGGTCAAAACCAACTCCTGCAATCCATAAATAGGTGACATTAGCTTTTAGAAACAATAAACAATGGTTTTGACTGGAAGACCACATCGGGTCAAATGAACTTTTCAGATTATGACTGAAAATAAATAGAAGACAGACCTTAACATTCTTTAAAAAATAATAATTGCATACCACAGCTAACCTTCCCAAAAGAGAGAAGGGAATGAGAGGAATGAGAGGAAGTTAGCTACTCTACTTATAAGGACTATTTACCGAAATGTTTTTCCAAGATTATTATGTTCTAGAGGCCCTGATATATGTAAAATGAAAATTAGGATTCAGGAGGATGATCATTTTTTTTGTAAATTACTAAAACAAAATGGGGGGGGGGGAGAAAGATTCTGATCTTTTTGCTGATATGTAATAGGGAGGTTAAGATACTATGACAAATCCAACTATTTTTGGATTTCCCATATGTCAATCCATGTAAAATACCATTCAGATTGATGTCATATTTGTACCTTTTGACACTGATTTCTAGGTACAAAAAAGAGTCAACAATTAACGAATATGTCAGCCTCGATTCTGCTGCTTGCTTTTCGGCTGCTATTGAAATGGGGAGTGGGGGCATGGTATTTGGGTATGGGAAATAAACTGTACAGGAGGACTGTTAATTGGGAATTGTTCTCACCATCTACTGCACATGTGCCAAGGAGGGGAGTTTCCCGCCAAGGCCAACTGTCCGGCATACCAACCTGATGATGATTTTTGAAGATGTCTCCCACCTGACAGCTGTGGAGATATTGGATTGGACTATGGACTGGGGTTACCCAGGGGAGGGGTATGGGTCATGTATTGATATCTAATGCTTTCACACGCTTTTGCTCAGATCCAGCTTTGCTTAGCTTCTATTT